TCTAGTTTAAATGAATAACAACTCTCAAGGTGTATTAGCTGCTTTATCTTTTTGTTTTGATAGTATGTAAACTATCAAAACAAAAAGATAATTCAGAAGATAATTCAGCTAATACACCAGCTGATACCAATTTTACAGGCAATCAGTTTACATACCTTAAGAGGTATGTGAAATAATAGTCAACAGAATAGTGAGTGTGAAATATTAGTCCTTAAGAGGTATGTAAACTGATTGCCTGTAAAAAATTTTAATGAAAAATTTTACAGGCAATCAGTTTACATACCTCTTCTATATGGAATAATACTGGGCATATATTTATACGTTTATCTAATGAAAATTTAAAATTTTTTTTAAATGTAAATAATATTATAAAACCAAATAATATTATAAATATCCTCAAAGTAATTCCAAGGACTGTTTTCAAAGTCGAGAAATTGTAAATTAGAATTTGATATATAACTTTGTCAAAAAAAATTAATCACAAAAAATAAATTTTTTTAAATCATGTAAGGGGGAAGAGAGGCAATTACTATTATTGCAATTCCCTTTCTCTATAAACTGGCGTGTGAGTGTGGGTAATCGTTAATTTGGCTGTAAACGTGTGTCGGGTTGTTGATGTGACTGTAAAAGTGCGTGGAGCAGTTAATGAGGCTGTAAATCAAGAAAAAGCAATTCTTACATCTATTAATTACAAATTTTAAAAAGAACAAAATAAACGTCATAAGTTAAAATTGAAACGGTGTACTATGGGTCCAAATAAAATGTTAACGAATAGAATACGCTAAAAAGAATTCAACTGGTCAGAGAGCAGCATTGTTTAGAAAAGCATTACCTTTGTTAATTGTGTAGTTTTTTGAACAACGTTTTACTTTAATTTGTTGTAATGTTTTTACAACTAACTTTAATGCGTCCCATTAAATTAAACTTAAGTTTTTTTCACACTCACTATTCTGTTGAATATTATTTCATACCCACCATTCTGTTGGCTATTATTTCACACCAACCATTCTGTTGACTAATATTTCACACTCACTATTCTGTTGACTATTATTTCACACTCACTATTCTGTTGACTATTATTTCACTCTCACCATTCTGTTAACACTAACCATTCTGTTGACCATTATTTCATACTCACCATTCTGTTAACTATTATTTCTGACCCACCATTTTGCTGACTACTATTTCACACCATCCATGCTGTTGACTATAACTTCACACCCACCATTTTGTTGAATATTATTTCACACCCACCATTCTGTTCACACTAACCATTCTTTTGACTATTATTTCACACCCATCATTCTGTTGACTTTTATTTCACACCCACCATTCTGTTGACTATTATTTCACACTCACCAGTGTGTTGACTGTTATTTCACATCCACCATTCTATTCACACTCACCATTCTATTGACTATTATTTAATACCCACCATACTGTTGACTTATATTTCAAACTCACTATTCTGTTGAATATAATTTAACACCCACCATTTCGTTGACTATTATTTCACAGTCACCATGGTGTTGACTATTATTTCACATCCACTATTCTGTTCACACTCACCATACTGTTGACTAATATTTCACATTCATCATTCCGTTAACTATTATTTTACACCCACCATTCTGTTCACACTCACCATTGTTAACTATTATTTCACACTCACCATTCCGTTAACTATTATTTGAAACGAATAATTGAGCAGTTGTTATAAAAAGTTTTAACGTACGAGATGGAAGTAGGCTAGTGTAAGTGAGCTTTTTTCTCTTAGTTTAATTTTGTCTTTTAAATCTTAAAAAATTAGTTTGTTGTTTTAGATCTTATATATTTATGATGATAATTGAACTTCTAAGATTCGCAGCTTTGTAACTATAGATATTATTACGACATATTGTTAGCAAGCGACGACATAAAGAAAAAAATTTAATCAAAGTAATTAATCTATCAAATTAAGCTTGATTTCTGTTAGTTGTAGGAATGTCGTACAATAATTGCCCAAAAACTTGGAACCATTATCTAGTTGCACAACTTAACATTTGTTGTACAACAAAGTTTATGTTTTAAACAATTACTTTAGAAAAAAAAATCAATTTCTGCACCAATTGTTGTACAAAAAAATCACACAAGTGTTGTAAAATATTTTGAGAACTATAGTAAACTTTATAATAATTTTTTTCGTGTGTGTATTTAGTTTTTTCTCACCAAGCAGATTTACGTTTCAAATGTAAACTAAAGTGGTTTTAAGTATTTAAAATATATCATACCGTAAAATGGTTTTATTTGCGGAAGAAGATTTTGAAACATCCAATGTTTTTTAACGATATCATCAATATCGCATACATAAAATGGATCATCATTGTATTCGCGATCATTTGCATTTACTTTAAAACGAATATATTGCTTCATATTAAAGTTATCATTACAAATGTCTATATAAGATTCACTAAGAAAATCGTTGCTAAGCTTTAGAGACACTGGATTCATTGGGTTCATTCTAAATTTAAAAGTAATAAACAAGTTTATAAATTTTAACTTTTATTAATAATATCTAATCAAGCATTAGTTGAATTGCACAATACACAACCACTTATCAAATTAGTACCTAATATAATATACAAACCCCTAATCAAATTTACTAATAAAAAGAAATTTTAACATTTTTAGCTTTTTTTGTGTCTTTTTAGTAGTAATCTTTTATTTTTTTTAAATATAGATATAAATTTAATGATTCAATAAAATAAGTTAAAAATGTATTAAATAGTTATAAAACCATTTTTATATTTTGTTGAATCTTTTTTTTTTTTAATATTTTGTTGAACGTTATTTTTTTTTTAATATTTTGTTGAATCCTATTATTTTTAAATATTTTGTTGAATCTTATTTTTTTTTAAATAATTTGTTGAACCTTATTTTTTTTTTTTAGTATTTTGTTGAATCCTATTTTTTTTTAATATTTTGTTGAACCTTATTTTTTATCAATGCGAAAAGAAGGATTGGTATAATATAAATATAAAAGCCAGTTTTTTCAAAAGTACATTATGATTTCAGTCTCAGATAAATTTTTTAAATAATTTGTTTTTATCAGTAACTATTTCTTTGAATGTTTTCCTTTTAACAGCAATTTTGATGGCATTTAAATCTGATGAATTTCATGGCCAAATCAAAATCAGAATTTTTGAGAAGTCAAAAAACAGAAAAAAGTATAAATTATATTTTATCATTTTGAGTTACTATTAGAATCATCACTGAAGCATCGAATCATCACTAAAGCATACCTAAAGAAAATAAAAAAAATTTTATCATAATTTTTTAGTTTGCCAATTTTTGGTCATCAACAAGATAACTTGAAAATTCCTTCACCCACTTCAGACGTGTTTTTTTTATTGGTATAGGTTAAATACAACTTGTGTACTAGTCTTCTGATTATAGCGCCTAATCTATTCAAACGTTTATACATATTCTATGCAAAATTTTATACATAAACTGTGCAAAATTTTCTAAGCGTTGTTTTATTTTTCAAACAAAATTTGTGCCTTGACTTGAGAGTGCAGTAGAATGCTTTTTTCTATTTTGTCCTTGATTTATATTACAGAGCGATATATTACGCTATTGGTCAAAAGACGTTGAAAATTTGCAGCTGTTTTAAGTGACAAGCAAATATTTAAAAACTAATATAAAATACAAATCTTGCAAATAAAAAAAATATATGCAAAAAAAAAAGCAGCTTGGATGATAAAACCCGTATTTTGAAAAATAAAACAACTCTCAATTTATTAAACAGTATTGAATATATTAGGCGGGCCATTGATTAGGGACTGTTTAATGACAGTTGAGATAAGAACAAATTATAATTGATATTATGACAACGGACAGTTTTCATAACGTTTATTAATGTATAATTTAGTTTAACACTTATAATTTGAAAGATCATTTTAATTGAGTAAATTCTTAGATGTTTATTATTGAATTCCCATAATTTAAAAACTTTTGAATTTTGAACAAATTGAGATCTTTTTATGATTTGAATTACATGAGTTGAACTGTAACTGTACATGAGTTGAACTTGAACTGTACATGAGTTGAACTGTAACTGTACATGAGTTGAACTTGAACTGTACATGAGTTGAACTTGAACTGTACATGAGTTGAACTTGAACTGTACATGAGTTAAACTTGAACTGTACATGAGTTGAACTTGAACTGTACATGAGTTGAACTTGAACTGTAATAAAAAAAAACCAAGATTCTCAAGTGTGGAAAATTATAAATACCAAACCCTTATATGGATCAGTTTTAGGTTTTTATTTATTTTAAAATCAAATTAAAAAAAAAAAAACACGATCAAGAATAAAAATGATTTTGTTTCTTCTTTTTATAAAAAAATTAAGTAGGTTACATTAGTACTAACAATCCATATTAATAAAAAGAGTAAGATGTTACAAACTAACTCAGTGTAAAATACCGATTAAAAATTATAGGCATCCACAAATTCGAGTTATGAAATTTTATTATCTAAATGGTTCTACAATTAATAATAAAAAAAAATGATTATTTCAATTCCTTTTTGAAATTTAACAATACCTTGTTAAAATGTAAATTCCAACAATTCCTTGATGAAATGAAAATATGTTTCATATTTACATTTCATCAAGGTACGATACGTTAGATATTTCTTATATTCATATTCGCTTCCATCATTCTATAGGCGTAATATATATCAATACGCTTCAGAAAATCGGTTTGTTTAAATTATAAAACTTTGATTGAAAAATAATTATAGTATTTATCATATTATAATTTAAATAATTTTTATTTATAATTTGCTAAGTTCAAAAGTTTGGTTATATATCGCGAAAAAAGTAACAAATGCACTCTTCGCTAATCCGTTTCGTGAGCACGGATTTATAAAACATGATAGTCCACTTTCCTGCTTTTATAGTTTTTTTAACAATAACAAAATTAAAAAAAAAATTAAAAATATTAGCTACAAAAAAGTTATCTTCAACAAAAATTGACTATTAAATATCATTTTGACTATTAAATATCATCTTTTCATAGGGAGAGATGATATATAATGTTTAAATAATTGCACAGTCGAATCCAAACTTCTAGTTAGAAGATCATATTTGAATTCTCAATAAGTATGATCTATATTAAGGTTATCAAGATTATTTATATTTTTGGAGAGACACCACTCACTGAACAGCATTGGTATGAGTTAGTTTTTTCAAATTATATTGTTTGAACTTCCCCATCAATCATTGTAAGTTTCATAATAAATTCACGTCAATAGAAGATCCGCAAACATCTAATAAAACTATTATAATATTTACTATTATAATATAACTGAATAAAATTGTGTTATATCTCCTTGACTCTTTTCCAACGCACTTTAATTTGCTCAACATGGTTTTCCGCAATTTTTCCTTAGGGATTATAAGCATCTCAAAACCTAATAAGCACTCCTCAACCATCAAAAAAACTTCTTAACTCCTCAGTTTTTAAGTTGTTTTGTTATCTGTCAAAATTTCAGATGGCTCTCTTCTCTAATAAATAATAAGACAGAGTATTCAAGTGATGGCAATACTTCCGTATGAACTCGGAAATTGTTGCCACAGTGCGTATCTTGAAGGTCCGCAATCAATTACAATTAGAAATTTTTCTGTGCCAAAATGCGTGATATCCTTGGCCACTCTTTTCCAATTTTCTTTAGCGCTCAATTTTCCTTCACCCATTGTACAGGTACTGAATCTATTGACTGTTATGGTTCACAATTTTTAATTACATCTCAAGCGTCATTTTCGGTAGCTGTTGGTTAATTACTTTACAAACAAAGTTTAACGTTCAATTCATTTCAAAGTGTCCGGTTCTCTTGTGTATTCTAGAAATGGATTCAGCCTCTGCAAATTCTACTCCAACTGAATTACTCGAATGCTCAACCTCTATCAATTTATTTAACCATCTACTTCGAACTTTTTTCAATGCTTCAGCTATTTATCTTTTGAAGGAAGTTTTAGATTAATATTAAGACCATATTCTTAAAATATTGTTGTAAAAGGCTTAGTCTTCTTTAAATCAACATTTAGCCGATTGCTTTTGATTTCAATCTTGATTTACCAGTGAAAGCGTCAGAGACCCAGTAGAAAACTGTCACGGAATCTGTGAAAATAGTCATTTTCTTTAGTTTCCACGTCAAAGCCATATTCATTCCTTGCATTACAACATCCATCTCCTCCATGTTTATATGATCATAAGACATTTCTTTTTGTAGCCATGTTGCATCTTCTACAGTAGTTTTATCAATTTGAATAAGAGCACCAATCACCAAAGAACTATTGTCAACCCACACATCCTTCATGTCACCATGTACAGTCCAATCACCTTAACTGGATTGCACTTTCTCACCTCATCATAAACTTGTTGAAGTACACACTTTAAATTTTCATTGCAAACTTCATTGCCCCAACCCTTCGTCAAACTAACCACTCTTCTTTTCAAAAGCCTGCAAACTGCCAAAAAAGGCTGCAAAACTTGCCACCAACCTTGTATACACGTAATCCCAATATAAGAACCCCATTTTATCCAATATGTTCACCTTCTTTACTCTCATACCGTTTTTTTTGAAATGTCTTCTGACATAATCAAGACTTGCTTCTTCCTCATTAAAAAATGTTGTCCACGTAAATCAATAATTGCTGGTTTGTTTCCCATTCTTCTCCATTTAATTCTTAACATTCTTCTTAAGCTTCTTAACACATACATTTGCATCTTTTGTATACGTTTCGATAAAACTATTAGCTTCTCTCCAGTCCAAAACGGGTCTGACTTTATTACCTATATTTTGTTGGATAACAGCCATTAAGGCACTTTGCCATTTTGGTGGTTTCATTTTGTTTTCGTCATATTCAATTAATCACTTACGATTGATCCAATCCCTTAGTTTTGTTTTCATATTCTGCTCTTCCATATTTTGGTATAACGTATTGGGCAACTTTGCTAAATAATTGGTTGGGGCCTTCTCCATCTCTCCATTTCCATTAAACTTCCCATTCGACTCTATCAAATATTGCCTCATGATTTTGTTTTTTAAATTCAATTTATTGGCTTTATATTTCTTTGAGACTGTTACTCCATACGAGCTGAACTTGAACTTTGCTACTCCAAATGAAAACCCCTTCTAACAATTTAATGGAACTTATTCCAAGCATCATATCAACTCTTAACGGTTGAAAATTCTCCAAAATATCTTCGTCTCGTACTTGGAGCCCATCATTAGTAGTGACAACCACTGATCCATTACATTGATAAATATTACCGTTATATTTTCTTGACAACAGCTTTTGATTTATAATTGTCTTTGAACATATCTATTTCCATATCTGTCGCTAACATACCATTAACTTATAGATGAATAATAGATAATGCGCTAACTCCACCATTGTTGAGAAGCAAGGTAGTGCACATTCCTCGCTCCTGTACTCGTTTCCCTTGGTC